AACACAATACTTTAAAGGGAAAGTGATTTATAGGACAATATATTTGAAAAAATAAACTATAATAAGAGCAACAAAGCAAAAGTTTGAAAAAAAAAGCTGTATTTTTCCTCCACATCAGTGTTTTAGCTCATTTGTTTCAGCATTGGTAAATGTGCTAAATATGTTTTAAAGGAATCCTCTAATAAAAACAAGATAACACAAACAAATAAATAAAACTTAAGTATTCCTTGAAGCCATGTGCATCATCCCACCTTGCAGGTCCAAGTTTTACAAACAAATCTTGCACAATCATTTAGCACTCAGAGTATGTGTTTTGAATCACTCTCAGATACTACCACCATTGATTTTAGCTCATTATCTAAATATTATTTAAAAAAATATTATTATTAAATAAATATTAATTAATCAATTAATTAATTAATTAATTAATTAATATTACTATTAATAAAACAATTCATTCAACCTTTATTTATACAGGCTAGTCTCACTGAACTACGAGGACTCATTTACAAGAGGGACCTGTTCCAGACTGAACATATAATGTACAGACAACAATAACAATAATAACAACAATAACAATAATAACAATAGACTACAGCAAAAATGCAATTAAAATAAGTGTATAAAACAATAAATCTGGGTGCCATAAAACAGGGTGAAATACTAAAAACAAGAACATATCTGCCTTAATTTTTCCATTGACATTATCAAATGAAATGATCAAATCATCAAATATTACCAAATATTATCATTATTGATGGAGTTATAGACAAATTTGTGTTTGAAAAGTTTGACCAGCTGTGGCAGCCATCTTAAATCAGATGAACTTCAGAAGTTAATCAGCTATAGATACACATGCTACAATTACTTTCTGAGATATTCATTGTGGTCCATATACTGTTAATAAAACATTTTGAACAACACACACACACACACACACACACACACACACATGAACGGAATTACAGGCAAAACCTGAATGCCAACTTTTAATGATTTTAGATCATAAATCATTATTAATATTTCTAAAAGTTGATCACAAACTAAAGTTTTTTTTATAATAAGAGGGCAAGAAAATCAGTACATATTCTCTTTAAATATGATTTTTTTTTTTTTTTATTGTTTCTGAATTTCTTTAAAGGGCGTCTGTAAAACTGTTAAAATCCAGTCTGCAGAAAATCTGAGTGATCCGAGTTCAGAGAATCAGAGAGAAATTCTAAAGACGCAAAGAGCTAGTCCAACACGCCATATTTAACAACTTAAAACAACTTAACTCTTTTACATTTCATAGTGACAAAAGAATGCTACGCTGTGGGTTTGTTCACTGGATTATATTTGTGTGGGATAGTTATCTAGACAGGGTTGATTTAAAACACTCCAGTTTGCAAAACGTTTAATTCTGCATGTCCTGATGGATGTAGTCAAGGTAGATAAATCTAGCAAGGTTGAGTTAAGACCTCTGATGGATTCTTCTTTGTTGACAAGTTTCATCTTTTATCCAAAAGACTTCTTCAGTCTGAGGAGCTGCAACAAGTTCAGTCTTATAAGCAGCACCTTCTCATAGTGGATCAACCAGTTTGCTGATGACATTAGAACTAGCTGTTCACATGATCAAGGAGGACCATCAGCCTAACGATGGATTGTTACTGCCCTGATGGCCGCTTGCTATTCACAGAGGGCTGAGTGATACTAGCAATAACAGCATTGTAAGAGGGGGACAGTTGAACCCGGAGGCCTCCACCCCTGTTTAATGATGGACGATTTCTTTTCACAAAGATGGCCTCCTTTACTCCTCTCTCAAACCATCGTTCCTCTCTGTCCAGGATGTGAACATCTTCATCCCTGAAAGAGTGACCGCTGGCCTGGAGATGAGTGTAGACCGCAGAGTCCTGGCCTGATGATGATCTTCTGTGCTGGTCCATTCTTTTGGCCAGTGGCTGTTTAGTTTCCCTGATGCAAGACTGATCACCTTCCTGACACTGAACAGCATACACAATATTACTCTGTTTGTGCCGGGGGACTGGATCTTTGGGATGAACCAGTCTTTGCCATAATGTATTTTGGGGTTTAAAAGCCACTGGGACGTTATGTTTAGAAAATAAACGTCTCAGTTTCTCTGATACTCCCTCAACATATGGAATGACCACTGGTCTGGGTCTGGGTTCCTCCTTTTCACCTGATGGTTGACTGGAGTCCTGTTTGAGTTTCTTCTCTGCTTTCAGGAAGGTCCAGTTAGGATATCCACATTGCTCCAGGGCCTGTCTTGTGTGGGATTTCTCCTTCCCCCTGGCTCCTGTGGGGGCTGTGGGGACATTGTCAGACAGTCCAGATAACTCCTTACTTGTGCTCCAGAGGGTGATGAGAGTCAGACTGCAAATACTGGTCTGTGTGGGTGGGTTTGCGGTACACTTCAGTTTCCAAATGTCCTTCATCAGAGACCGAGACCGCACAGTCCAAGAAAACCAGCCTGCCATGTTTTACAGCTTCTCGTGTGAACTTGATATATTTATCCACAGAGTTGATGCGATCAGTGAAATGCTGAGACTTCCTGAGATTTAATTTTAACCCAGGTGTCATCAACATACCTGAACCAATGACTCGGTGGTGTCCCTGAAAAGGATGCCATGGCTCTCTTTTCTACCTCCTAAATTTTGCTTGAATTTGTTGCAGCTTCTCAGGCTGAAGAAGTCGTTTGGATAAAACACAAAACATTTCAACCACGAAGAATCTGTCCAGAGGGCCTGACTCAACATGGTTAGTTTCACACTGCATGCTTTGCAGCATATCATGTCCCAACACGGTTTGCCTTCTGTTACCCACAGTAAAGAGCTGTCTAATGGAAAGATGATGGTAAGTAACTTGATTTATTTTTTAAATTTAAATTATAAAATGGAAACATGTTTTTGTTTTGTTTTTTTCTTCCATGTTGCCGTCAGCTTGACTCTTATGAGATGTTCTCTAATTTTCAGATCATTCTGACCATTGTCTATTGCAGGTAAGATATTAACTTATAAAAAAAATTGAACTATTCCCTCAAAATGTAGCTTGAATTTTTACTAGAATCATTTATCATAACTGTTATTTATCATAACTGAAGTTTTTATCTTAACTGGATTATTTTGCTCACAAACACAAAACAGAGGCCATAATTTATTTAAGACGAAACATGTCTACATTAGGCAAACACTTTAATAAGGTTTAGTTTAATTTAAATGCCGCATCTCAAGTGATCTCTACCAGAGAAACTACCAGTAAATTTAATATAATAAAAACAGTTAAACTATTTCTCAGCAAAGGTTTGCACATTTTCTTTCACATATACGCATGAAAAGCTTCCAGTAAAAAACGCCTAAATGAATAAAATGTTCACATGATTTGTTTCATTACAGAGTAAGCTAAAGTAATGAAACAATGCCTCCATTATCAGTCAGAAAAATGCATTATATGTGGGAAGTGACACCAACTCAGATGTTTTATTAGTCAACAACCCACATTACTGAGGTGAAAACTTGCAATTTATTGGATGAGATAGTGCCAACACTTTTATGTTACTCATTTCCTTTAATGTTGGGCAGTTCTGTGCTGCAAATAAAAAAAATGTTTAAATAATTTCCTTATACACATGTCCCTCATAGAAACTTTGTATATTTCCTAATACAGGGGATCCCAACCCTGGTCCTTGAGGAACACCATCCTGCATGTTTTAGTTGTGTCCCTGCTCCAACACACCTGATTCAGTGATTTAATTACTTCCTCATGTTCTGCAGAAGCCATTTATTAAAATCAGGTGTGTCGGAGCAGAGAAACAACTAAAACATGCAGGATGGTGTTCCTCAGGGACCAGGGTTGGGAACCCCAACAAAAATATGTATCTATCAAAGGTCCAGCTATGTTGCATAATCCATCCATCCATTATCTTTACGCACGTCTTCCGGGGGTCGCCAGTGCCCATGTCCAACAATCACTGTGCGAGAGGCGGAGCACACCCTAGACAGGTCGCAAGTCCATCACAGGGCCACATAGAGACAAACGAGACAAACAGCCATTCACTCTCTCACTCACATCTAGGGACAATTTAGAATTACCAATCAGCCAAACATGTATGTTTTGGGTCTGTGGGAGGAAACCGGAGAGAAAATCCACGCATGCACGGAGAGAACATGCAAACTCCACTCAGAAAGGCCCCCGGACCAGGATATGAACCGTGGTAACCTGCTCACTGAGGCAGCAGCTCTCCCAGTTGTGCCACCGTGCTGCCCCATGTTGCATCATGAATTAAATATTTAGCAGCAGGAAAAATATAGGGAGTGGTGGCGCAGAGGTTAGAGAAGATGGGCCTGTGATCGGAAAGTTGCAGGTTCAACTCCCGGTACCATCAACATCAAAATGTGGGTGGAAAAGTTGAAACACCCGCACCTGCCTCCACCCTCATTTGCCCCACTCTGGGTCCCTGAGCAAGGCACTTAACCTCCACCATTAGCTCCCAAAAACAGGTCTCTATTGAAAATGAGTTTTCGTGACTCAATGAGACTACCTGTATAAATAAAGGGTAAATGAAAAGAAAAACCTTTTTGTTGTCTTTTTTATTGCAAAAGATGACCAACAAACAGTCCCCCCCCCCGTGTTCTCATACTTTCATACAACCATAGAATATTTAGCCTGTCTGATTCCAAGGAATTTAAACTTCTGGCCTGAGAACCGAGTTCTACTTCCTGTCCAGTAGCTAATAATAGCTAAATGGGTGACAGTAACAGCTCAAGGTTTTCTCTTAGCAGATTGATTATTCTGTGCTATTTTCCAACAAATTCTGCATCAGTGTTGATTCTCCATCTGCCTCCACTTGTGCTGAAAAACTCCCACACACCATTAACACTGACACGAGGCCCGTTAGAAGTCCAGAGCGGTCATCAGCAAAGAAACACATTTTAGAGCGTCTCACACTCGCTGCAGGACTCTCAGACAGTTTGTGTCGTGATGTCTGCAGACTCTGAGCTTCTTACCTCTGAACTTCTTTGGTGGGGTGTTGAGGTCCCCGGCACCAGGCTGGACGACGCAGCGGTCATCCACCAAGCTGTTAAAAATAAGGGCACATGAGAATATAATTAATTACAGGGTGCCAAACGCACGGGCAACAAAAACTACTGAATAAAAAGGAGAACAGTTGTTTGGGGTTTTTTTTAATAGAGATGATGTGACGGCGTTTAAAAGCCTCCACAGACGTATTTTGGTCTGCTGGAGCACATTTTACCTCCTGTCCAGTAAACCTCCACCTATCATTTAATCATTTACAAAGTTTGACCAAAACAGTTACAGCTGTGTGCTTTCTGATCATAAGATAATCTTCATTTAAAACCGGTTTGAGATCCAACATGTTATTAACTTTTATCAACTTTAATAACTCAGATGATCTTAGTCTTTAACGTTGACATGAAAGGCAGCTCTCAAAAAGCATTCCTTCAGGAAATACTAAATTTTTTACCATTTCAGGATTGTTGTTTTTTTTTTTTTGTAAATCAAGCTTTGTATTAATTCATAAAGTGACTCTTGAATTCCAGTTCCTGATAAGATTGAAATATCGACTCCCCAATTGAATCACCTATCATTTACTGCAGTGATCGACAGCCTTTTTTTTCCCTAAAGGCTCAGTTCAGATCTTACTTAAACTGGAGTTTTGTGAAGTTCGTTTCAGCAGTCAGTATCTTACCTGCAGTAGACAACAACCAGAATGACCTCGGTTTAAAAATCAGTCAGAATTTCTGAGAAATGTTACCATTTTAAAACAACTCCAGGCACAAACAAATATGGTTGTTCATCAGAAAATCATTTTATTTGATTATTTATTTTACACTGAAATTTGTATCTATAGTATTTCATATTTGCACCATTTAAAAGGGAATGTTCAGTCTTTTCTTGGTTGCTCATGCAAACACTTTTTTAAAGCGTTACACCATTGTCAAATACGCATTTTACACAAAATTACAAATAACCATAGAATTCTATGTGACTGTACTGTGATACCGCGAGTGATGTAAAGGTTTATAAAATACTGCTTGTACAAACTGATATGAAATTTTTGAGACTGGACTTGTTTTAATACGGCAGCGCTTTTGTTAAGGCCCCACCAGGACCAGCTATTAGCTCGTCCATCTGGTCAGAATAAAAGTTTAATTTCTCCAAACGGAGATAATTCAAAGAGCCATCTACAGCAGGTAAGACAACAACTGTTCATAACGTTTCCACAGCAGCCACCTTCTAAAAGTTGCTTTATTGCAGCATTTCTAACACGCTCTCAAACTGAATGAGGGTCTATTACTCAGAGCACCGTGGAACGTGGCAGGGCTGCGGATCAAAAGCCCTAATCTTCCTTCTTGTATCCACAAAAATAAAAAAATATATGCTGGTTGAATCACCAGTGGGCAGGCTGGAATTTAACGTGGCGAATTTAACTTTTACTGGCTCGTAACAACACTTGCTGGGACAGAAGCCAAATCCCACGTCTGTTTCAGTTCTTTTTTTTTTCAGCATAATGATCTAAAAAGTCATCCAACAGAACAATCTACACCTCAGTAAACAAAGCTCTGACTCACTGATTTAAAGTGAGATCGGGTGTGGAAGTGGACAGAACTCAACTGCGCGATGTACATAACTTGAGCAGCACCCAGGGGTGAGTTATTGGCAACTAATCTAGCAGCTCCACCTGTGAACAGACAGGATTTGTCCTGATGAAGGCTCCACAGTTTCAGTACTTTGTGCTGCTGCTCAGATGATGATGCTCAGAGAGTTTTCGCTCTTCTCAGTATTGTGTTTCCTCGAATGCAGACAATGTGGAGAATGCAGCCGAGTTGGTTTCATGTTAGGAGTGGCTGGCTTCTGGCCAAAACTCTCCTGACAATTTTTGTAAATGTGCGTGCTTTACAGTGCATTCTTAGCAGCGTAGGAAGTGCTGGACTTCAAGAAAGGCCACGGAGTCTTTATAATGGCTCGGTTTTTGCTGTGGGTCGTTCCATTTTCACGACTCGGCAGGAAGGAGGCCCAGGACGCTGAGCTGAAAGCTCTGATTCTATTACTGATGCTCGAAACAAAACTAACCTCCTGATACAGATTTATTGCACTGGGAATAAAACCAAACCTTAAAACAAACTTCTTATGAGCTGGTTAACTCTCAGAATAAAAATAAGGAGGGACAGAAAACAAATATAAATATTTACAGAGGTATTTTAACGATGAACAAAACACAACTTTATTGTTTGTTTGAAAAAAATAGCATGGACACGGTTTCTTGTTTGTCCCTGGAAAGAGCCACCATCGTGTTAGCGTTGAAAGTGCATTTATTGCTTATTTGATTTTTGTTGTGTGCTATTTTTTTAACATCACATGTTGTGAATGTTGTGCTTTTTTAATGGGCTTCAAAAACGTATTGTTTAATTTGTTTTCTTAAATTGTTTTAAGTTATTTAATTTCCAGTTTCTCTGCGACAGTGTGACTTAAATAATAATAATAATAACAATAATAATAATTCTGGATGGAAGGTGAAATGTTTCAGCACCAAAAAAAAAAAAAATGTCCAAATGACCTGACTGAAAATTGTTGGATTGTATATCTGGATTATTGAGCATGGACTTTGTTGATCATTATCAAATGTTGATTTAGATGTAGATGCCTTCAAATCCACACTGACAGTTCCACTTGTTGAGGCTCCTGGGGGCCCATTACTAAATTTTAGAATCCTTAATTGGCTTTCAACTATGGCCACGATAAATGTTGGGTGTTTTTGCTCTTGCTGTTGATCGACTGCTGCAAAGTTTTGCATCCACAGTAGCTACAGTGCTGTACATGTAAAGTTGAAGTGATGGAGTTAACATTTCAGTGCGCTCAGACTGTGTGGGTGAATTAGTTTATTTTACATGTGATTTTATTATGTGGATTACTCATAATCAAACATAATCAAGCCAAAGTTTAAGTTGCTTTCACAACTTTTCATTTGGAGTCTAAACAATAAAACTAGTTTTGTTTCCCAATGCTTCCAATGTAAAACTATCTTGTAAGCATCAAGTGGATTGGACATCTGCATCACGTGCAACACGTTCGTTAAATTTCACAATTATTTGACTCAGAGAAGAAGAAGAGACTTCTTTAGGACTAAATTTTATCAAAGGAGTGATTTAAAATATTGAACAGTTAATGCAAAAGAAGGCTTTGACACGTTCGAGAGACGTACCCCAAGGTACTGATGAAGCCATTGGTGGATCCCTCTGCATACAGGGAGCACACGTCCCCGATGTGTAAAAAACTGGACATCTTATCCGACATGTTTGGCACAAATGGAGAGCGCCTACAAAGGAGGGAGAGGGAGAAACATGATGAAAACTCAATTCATTTACTCTTCATGTGTCGTAGATAAGCCATAGTTTCACATCCCTCAAAAGTTGGAGAAACATCAAATTGACTACCATAATTATAATTTGCTATAGCTATAAAGTTAACTCGTACTCCAGTAGGAATGTAACGAACCTTGGTGTTATTTCTACCTGCGTAATATTACCTTAATTAGAAACAGCTTGTCCAAAAATAATCCAGGAAAACGTCTAGGCTGGATTATTGCAATGCTTTATTATTTGAATGTCCAACAACCTCTTAAAAAAGGTCTTCAGTTGATCTACAATAGTGCTGTTAGAGTTCTGATGAGAGTCAGGAGAGATGATTCTCCATCTTTAGCTTCAGTGGCAAATTCAGAAATGGAAAAACCGTCTTTCTAACATGAAACAAATTCTTAACAACCAGCTCCATCTTGGAGAAGTAGTTCCAAATTTTCCACTTGGCTTTCCCACTGCAGGTTTACTTGTGATTCCTATCGTTTCTAAAACAGGAGGCAGAGCTTTCGGTTATCAGGATCTTCTCTTGTGAAACCAACAAGTTTCTGCACTTTTAAGACAAGGCTCGAGTCTTTCTTTTTGATAAGTCCTAAAGTTAGTGTTGGATTGGGTTTCCTGACCTATTCCTTAGTCTGCCCGAGGGCAATCTGACCACATTTCATCATCCAGAGAGCTGGCTCAGTTCTGGGAGTGGAGCTGCAGTCTCAGAGGTGTCTGAGCAGAGGATGCTGAGGAAACTGCTCCAGATCCTGAACAACACGTCACACCTCCTGCATGACACCCTGGACTCTTACCGCAGCACCTTCAGTCGTAGACTGAGACCACCGAGGTGCTCCACAGAACGTCACAGGAAGTCCTTCCCCCCTGTGGCTATCAAACTTTTCAACTCCTCCCCCTTTCTGCATACACCATACCATTTTATTTATAAAGCGCTTTAAACAGCGACAGGGCCAACCAAAGTGCTGTACAAACAGAAACAAACAGGCAAAGCACACAACAACATATAACATAACGTCAAATCTAAATATAGAAACAAAATAAAAGCAGATAATAACAGAATGACTAACACAGTGTGATGCACACAGGATCAACACAAACCATACAGTGTCATATGGGACAATAAAATCCTGCACCACAATAAACTCTTTTAATGTTTCTGTCTGCACCTGCTTAGACCTTAATTGTTGGTATTTTTATATTCTGTTAGTTTTTATATCTTGTGTGATTCCTTGTGTTCCTTTGTACTGAAACTCTGGCACAACAATTTCCTGCGGGATCAATAAAGTTCCATCTTATCTTATTTCTTCACTCCGCTGCTGTCTATGTTTGCATTTGCAAATATAGCTGCTACTGACTTCGTGCTCCCATCGTCTTCCTATACGACACCTGGACCAATATCTCGTGTTTGGGTCTGCTTCCTGTCCTCTTAAACCCCTCACAGGTCCATGCAGATGGTCACCCTGTTGGGAGTTTCCTCCTGTTGAAAGGGAGTCATTCCTTCCCACCGTCACCTCTGTGCCGGTCAGGATGGGGGCGGATCAAATTGACTGCAATACGATTTGGATCTGGATTTGTTTCAGCTGTTTAGACTGTTATTTTTGGTGCACAGTGCTCCGGGGGAGGTGAACTGAAGTGCAACATTTTGCAGAGCACCGCCTGGCTGCGTGGATTTGCATAGAAGCGGGAGGAAATGAAAATTAACTGATGCTTACTGTTGTGTGGCTCCATGGGAGCAGGAAGGGTTTATTTTTTTATTTTACTTTTTTGTTTTGTTTTGCACCTGCAACAGGTCTTCACCACCTAGGCTGACAAGTTTCACAAGCACTGCCCCGTCAGGTCTTTAAAAAGAGTTTACCGCGAAGTACAGGATGAGCCTGAAGCACCGATTGATGACATTGATTATCCGACTTTAAACTTTGAAACCAAAAGGGGTGCTGCGCTCCATTTTCACTTGGCGTCTTAAGAGTCTTCTGGTAACCATGTAAGGAGAAGTCAATCTTTTTCTCTGGGAAGAATAAAAACTGAGTTGTGAGCTCCACTTTACCTCCTCCTGGGCTGTCGCACGGCTCAGATGTTCGGTGTTCTCCGGACTCCAGGAGACGACATGACGGCGGCTGTCCTCTCCGCCCGGTGGAGGTCACGTCCAGCCGTCAGCGGCTCAGATAATCCGGTTTTTGACAGCTTTCGGCGGCTGCTTCCACCGAGGCAGGCGGGCAGCAGGCACTGGCTGGTCGAGCTGCCTGGCTCTCTGCCAACTTTTCCTCCTCTTCTTCCTTCTTCTTCTTCTTCTTCTTCTCCTTTTCAGGCGGTTGTAGTGTTGGTAGCTGGGAAATGCTGTTCTTATTCCCTCCTTCTACACCCAGTGCCACAAAAGTTTCTTTGATTTAAAAATGTGGAACGAAAAGTACTCGAAATTGATTTGTTGGGGTTTATGCTAAACTGTTACTGTAAGAATATTTTAAAAATATTTATCAGTTGGATAAGTAAGAGAAAGAGCAGCAATAATGCGAAGGCTTTACAAGAATATTACTTTTTCTAAAGAAAAAAATACGCAAGAACCCCCCTTCGTCAGGAAATAGTGAAAGTACATCATTTATACGCCGGCATACGTACCGGAGAACAGAGTAGGCGGAGTTTCGGGTGTTTGCCCCACCTCCCTTCGTTTCTGAGATAAACTCCTCCCTCGCCGCTCGTCTTCACTTCCAGCTGAGTCATGCACCAGCGGAATCGATTTTTGTTTCAGTGCGACCAGCTGACTTTTCACGTGACTTTGCGGAAGTCTGACAACAACATGAGCGGTGCTTGACGCGTGGAAGTTAAGAATGGTTCGTTTTTATCTCTTAATTTTCGCCGCTGCAGTTGAGAATGGGGTTTTTTGTCTTCAGGGTTCGTGCGGACGAGAGCAGGAACCCGCCTCCCCGGAGGGAGCAGGGGGCTGCGGCTGTGACAAGCTGAGAAGAGCCCCCGTTGAGGGCTGGACGGGGTCGGACGACCCGGCTGTCAGGTACTCTGCAGCGGCCTACGAGGAGACGACTGGGGTCAAAGGTGAAGATGAGGAGGAACTGCAAAGCCAGGTATGAGGTGACTCCATGTTGTTGTTGTTGTTGTTGTTGTTGTTGTTGTTGTTGTTGTTGTTGTTGTTGTTGTTGTTGTTGTTGTTGTTGTTGTTTAATACAAGTTAAACCCAACATCATGGAGCTTAAGCAAACATTTGTGATTAAATAAAACGAAAGATCAGAAATAATAATTAATTATTCTTGGGAGAGTAGCATAAATCCCTTCTGGTGGTTTAAATAATTTATTCATTTTAAACTTTATGAAGAAAAGGCAGTGTGAGCATGCTTTTTGCCTAAACCTAATCTAAAGTGTGTGCTTTTTTATTTTATTTTATTATTTTTATTTTTTTATAAAAAGAGACAGAAGACATAAAATCCAGTTTGAGTAAGATTGCTATTTTTTGTTCTGCTTACAGATGGTGTTGATATCTGGAGGAGAGTTCCTGATGGGAACAGACAACCCGGGCATTCCTGCAGACGGCGAGGGGCCCCAGAGATCGGTGCAGGTCAACTCCTTCTTCATGGACGTCCAGGAAGTCACCAACCAGCAGTTCCTCAGCTTCGTCACTGCCACAGGATATGTTACTGAGGTGTCAAAAAGTCATTATTATTCTTTTTTCTTTACCTCTTCTCCATTTTGGGTCTGTGAGTGTCTCCAGCAGTTACTGTAGGAGAGGTGGCAGTCCCTCACAGGGACACTCGGAGACAAATGACGCTCACACTCAACAAAACCTAAAGACAACTAAGGGTTACAGTTAATCACATGCATGCTTTTGGTGTGTAAGAGGACCAAAAAATCCAGTAACCCTTTTACCCTTCTGGTTTTAGGCAGAGAAATTTGGAGACACGTTTGTATTTGAGGGAATTTTGAGCGATTCTGTCAAAAGTCAGATCACCCAGATGGTGAGTATATTTATTCTTGTGTATTTTTTTTTACGTTTTCCTCTGCTTCCTGTTACGGAAATTACTCTGTTCAGACTCTTTAAAGAACGAGATGAGGAAACAATCTTTGTCTTTAAGTTTTATTTTCTCTTTGCAAAGGAACTCAGTCAGAATAGGCCTACAGACATGAAGAAAGTCAGCCCCCGAGTGAGTTGAGGAAGTCTCAGACTCCTCCGTATTTATAAACACCGTCATTGCATCTCATGTGTACCTCATGGAAAAAAATACAGGAGAGCTCAGAGCTCTTTAAGCTGTCTGACTCAGAAGCTGCTGATGTCTGCTGAACTCAGAACACAGACATGAGCAGAAACCATTAATCAGACACTCCGTATGCTTTATCGCAGACTTTATCTGAGATTGATGGAGTTTCTGATTTTTGCCTTTAGAACAAATTCAATCCCAATTTAGTGGCATTAACAGACTCTTTATACTGACGTAATAAGAAAGAATACAAAAACTCAATGCATAATACTTTTCTTCACATTCAGTTGAGCTTAAACCTGTATGTAACCTTAACAAATTTAGAATAATTTTAAGGTGGCCAATAGTTTTGCTTTGCTTAGATAACTTGTACAGATGACAAAACATAAAAAAAAAATGTTTTTATGATATAAAGGATTTTTTAAAGGTTTTCTACATTTTTTTTAATAAAAGAAATCCTTGTCAATTGTACTTTCCTTTTAATAATCCGTAGCAAACTATTTAAAATAAGTCAAAACTATTGCTTACAACCTTTTTATCTTTTTCCCTCTGGTGTTTTGCAACAATAATTATATAATTCATATATATCTTCCTTAGGTAGCAGCCTTCTGCGCCACGCGTGTGGGCACTGGTAGTTGGTGGTTGTGTCAGGAAGGGCATCTGGCGTAAAAACAGTTGCCAAATCTTCGTGTGTTTCCTCGCTGTGGCGAGCCCTGAAGAAGTGAGCAGCCGAAAGAGATGAACCATAGGCAGATACAGTTAACGTGATAATCACTGAGCATTAAATTTAAAATCAGAACTTTCAGAACATGCTTTGTAGAACTGAAGTTTAAATTATTCATAATGTTCCTTATTTGAGGCACTGAAAAGCTGCTGAAAATATCGGTTCAAAGCTCCCCTGCTTCCCACTTTACCAGAACTACCAGAAAACGGCTTGCTCTGTCCATTCAGTGTGACATTGCGTCACGTCAGGGACTGCACGGTTGTCCAAGAGCTGTTGCTCAGGATATTAGGTGAAAATAAATGTATACAGGAACCTAGAACATGTGAAAGAATTAAGATGCTTTATATCTAAAATGCTGCAGTACTTTCTTTTCCTTCTATCTTATTTTATGTGGCAATGCTTCTGCCAGTTTTTGTTTTCTTTGTGTTTAATTTGTGGGCACCACAAATATAACTTGAACTAGAGAAATTGAATTTCCTGCGAAAATGCAGTGTGAATGCTTACTGCAGAATAACTTGCTGAAAAACAGCAGAAATTACGATAGCTTAAAAAAACATGCTGAAATGGAAGAACAAGCTTAAATTAGCAGAAGAAAGCAGAAGTAACACACATTTGCTGAATTAGGTTTAAATAAGCAGAAAGGAGATCAACATTTGGGAAAATGGCTACAAAAAACTGAAATGATCAAAAAATAGCTGAAAAGGTAGAAAGAAGCTTAAACAACCAGTAGGAAGAGAGCACATTTTTGCTGACTGAAGCTGAAAAAAGTTGAAATTATTGCAAAAAATGTGGTATTAGTTGAAAAAGCTCAAATTAGCATAAAACAGCTAAAATAGCTGAAATAACTGAAACTAGCTGAAATAAGCTGAAAGGAGCATAACAAGCTGAAATTAGCAGAAATAATTTAATTAAGCAAAAAGTAGGGGTGCACCGATTGCAGTTTTCTGGCCCATCACGATCTCTAAAAAGCCTGACCTGCCGATTATGATTTTGTTTTATAAGCGACATTGTCAGGTGTTATTAGGTCACAATGCACCTTCAATTTTCCAATCTTATTTTATTGAAATACATACCCTTGAACAATATCCTATAAATAATACAAACTTGTTTTAACTGGCCATGAGGTAGTGCTCTGAATTATAAATCAAGTTCAGACAATTGTTGTTAAAACTAAGAAAAATTGGTAACATCGGTTTCTCATGCAAGTTTGGGCCGATTTCCCAAAATTAAGGAAATTGGGGCTGATTTATCTGTGCGCCCTTAGCTACATTTTTGTGCTTCTTCTAATTTCTTTCCGCTCCTTTCAGCTTATTTCTGCAAGTTTCAGCGTTTTCTGCTATTTAAGCTACTATTTAGCTGTTTTTATGCTAATTTTAGCTTTTTTGGCCAATTCCACATTTTTTGTACTTATTTAAACTTTTTTCTGCCTAATGCAGCAAAAAATGTGCTCTCTCCACTTCCTTCTGAAATTTAAGCTTCTTTCTGCTATTTTTTAGCTACTTTTCAACATTATTTTCAGCTAATTTCAGCTTATTTCAGATCATTTCAACTTTCTTGTGCTAATTTCTGCTTCTTTAATCCTAATTGGGCAAATGTGTTATTTCTGCTTTTTTCTGCTAATTTAAGCTTGTTCTACCTTTTCAGTTACTTTTTTAGCATTTTTCTAGCTAATTTCAGCTGTTTTCAGATAAATAAATAAGCATTTGTGCTTATTTCTGCTACTTTTAGTTAGCAGAAAGATCCTGAAAGGATCACAAAACAGCTGAAAATAGGTGGAAAAAAGTTAAAATTTGCACAAAGAAGCTGAAAGAAGCTGAACTAGAACAAAAATTGAAAGGAGCAGTTAAAGGTTGTAAACCGATCTCAAGATTTGAAGGAAGTAAAATGAGCTCAATTCATTTTCTATGAGGAAAAATGGCAGAAAAGCTAAAGTTGCACCAATACCAAAAGTTATCGCGTCCTTCTCCTGAACGAGCTGAATGTTTTAATATATGATTTGTTGAAATGGCATAAAACTGTGGAACAAGAAAGATGCTGAAAAAACGTACGGAAGAAAAATGGGTCACAACAGTGTGAACGCTTCATGAGCGTTCACACAAATATGGACTGCTCTATACAAAGACTACATTCTGTCTTTGTTTGAGATAGAACCATCAGGAACCAACGTTGTTCTGAGCTTAAAAATAAACAAGTGGATCAGTGTAAAATGATATGTAAGACGAGCAAAAATATAAAGTTGCATGTTTTTTTTTTTTTTTTAGAACAGTATGACCCATCCTGCCTGTTGTTTTGATCTGTCCTGCCTTTTTGAGTCCTTTTGTCCATGAAATTATTTCACTCTTCCTCCCAACAATGTCAGGCTGGAACATTTTCTGAGTTAAGCTCCGTTCACAATACCATTATCCAGACGTTAAGTTACACATGGGAGTATTTCTGGCATGAAGGCGTACCAAGCCCCTGCTCTTTGACACTCTGTAGCTTCACACGTTGGTTAAGAGGCTCGAGGCCAACGGGCCTCCCAGAGATGAAAGCCAGGCAGCAGAGCGCACACTGCTTCGTCTCAGCTGTCATCTGCAGCCTGGTCATGTGGGGCGATGTGGACACCAGCTCTGGAAACTAGCTGGAACAGTCCAGTAAAGACACTTTTTAGGACAAACCCTGAAAACTTTTTTATTTGAGAAAAACATGAAACAAAATAGCATACTATGTCAGTACAGTAACCAAATTTTTGTTGTTAGGTGGCTGCTGCCCCCTGGTGGCTTCCTGTCAAAGGGGCTAACTGGAAGCACCCCGAGGGTCCAGACTCCAACGTCACAGACCGGTAGAACACACCTGACTACATACATTAGTATATTATAGTGAATGCAAACTTTTACTAATAATTTAATCTGTTTTTGCAGGATGGATCATCCCGTTGTTCACGTGTCCTGGGCAGACGCTGTCGCCTTCTGCTCCTGGGCCAACAAGAGACTTCCTACTGAGGCCGAATGGGAGCACGCCTGCAGGGGGGGATTAAAAGACAGGTGAGATACCTGGTGATGGTAATAAAAAAAACTGTGCCGACATGCTTGAGTCTCAAATAAACTACGTCCTCTCCAGACTTTACCCCTGGGGAAACAAGTTGAACCCAAAAGGACAACACTATGCCAACCTCTGGCAGGGGGACTTCCCCGTACACAACTCTGGAGAGGACGGATACGTCCAAACGTCACCGGTAAGACAAACAGACAAAATGACAAAGGAAGGAAACATGTCGCTCATGCAGGTTTGTTGAAAAATGTCACATTTAGACCAGATCACTTGTTACTGTATGTAGAGGCCCAATGCTTTTAAATTTACTAAAAGAAGAAGAAAATCCATCAAATTTGACTTGAAAAAAACTGCTAAATATTTTATTAATTGCTAATTTTAATGTTAATATTATATCGGACAAATAAAACTTAAATTTTTACATGGCCAGCCTTGAATAATAACCTCTCATTTCAGAAGCTCCTGGTCCGTTTTCAGTTTTTTAGGGGCGTTAATGAAGAGCCCCGTATAAAAGTGCTTCAAATGAACAAACGTTCAGCCAATCCGAGCAACAAACCTGTGACAGAGATGAGCGGCAGCCATCTTGATTGTTTATGCAAGTTTCTCTGCAGAGCTTCTTGTTGCAGTCATCCATCACCTGCAGCGTGTTGGATAAACCGCTGTGATTTGTCTGACGTGCACAACTGCAGCTAGATTTCTGTTTGAGTTGCACTACGTGGACTGAACACGGTTTGAACTCGACACAACCTTCTGACAATAAACTTCTTTAATGGTTTTTGTTTGTCTGCGCTGTTTGCTCGTATCTCTCATGATTACGAATAATAAAGTTATGAACAAATATGACAGTTTTGTCGTTTTGGAAGTCATGCATGAGCCGTGTCGCTCCCCTCTGTTGCTGAGACATAAACTCCCGACACCTCCTCAGTCCTCCGCGGTTGTTTCATACAGAGCGTCATAAAAACAGCAGCGGAGGACGGAGGAGGTGTCGGAGGAGTTTATCTATCGTGTCGGCAACAGAGGGAAGCGACGCGGATCATTATGGCAAGCCCTCAAAAAATACACAGACACTTTAACAATGCTTCCTCACGTTCAAAAAGATGGATTACGCTGTCAACTCTGGACTTCACCCACAGCACGCATGTAACAAAGAGTCAACTCAAAGCAAGAGTGACACCTGCCCCCTCTTTCCTCTTTCACGTTGACAAAATGTTTTAATTTATCAACGAGTTTGTCAAAGCACAATTTTGATGTGTTTTTTATTTTGTAAATGCAGAAGTTTAATAAATTTTTAATAAATGTTAGGACTCTATTATTTGCTAACAAAATATATTCACCTCCTCAGTTAAGCTTCTGTTTTTTAATGCCCTGGACGCTTGTCACCACAGCATGCAGGCGACAAAGAGTAAACTCAAAAGCGAGAGTGACACCTGCCCCCTCTTTCCTTTTTCGCGTTGACAAATTTATTTGTTTTATCAATTTGAGTATGCTCTTCAATCCTGACTTCCTCATTTTTTATGTAAAAAAAAATCAACACAAATTCCATCCATCCATTATCTTTACCCGTTTGTTCCATTTTGGGTCACGGGGGTCGCTGGTGCCCATGTCCAGCAATCACTGTGCGAGGGGCGGGGTACACCCTGGACGGGTCGCAAGTCCATCACAGGGCCACACAGAGACAAACGAGACAAACAAACATTCACTCTCTCACTCACACCTAGGGACAATTTAGAGTTACCAATCAGCCTAACATGCATGTTTTTGGTCTGTGGGAGGAAACGGAGTACCCATAGAAAACTCATGCATGCACGGAGAAAACATGCAAACTCCACCCAGAAAGGCCCCCGGACTGGGATTTTGAACTGGGGCAACCTGCTCGCTGAGAGGCAGCAGCTCTACCAACTGCGCCACCGTGCTGCCCTAGTAGCTTTTATTATTTTAAAAGTCCGTCAGATTAACAAACTGATTTGGAGAAACTGAATGGTCAGCTGTGGCTGAGTGGTTAGAGCAGTTGTCCTCCATTGGGAGAGTTGGGGGTTCGATTCCACCAGAAGTCTGAAGTGCTGCAGTGTCCCTGGGCAAGAAACTAAACCACTCGTTCTCTCCGATGTGTGTCCCATCTAAGCCTGTCACGATAAACAATAAATCAATTAATCGCATGATAAATGAAAATTATCAACCTCATTTTCATTTGTTGGCTTTATTGTTTCTTTGTGTCTCTCTCTTTCTACTGAAGACACAATTTCGTTCCACCACATGTACCACATGTGGTGCATATGACAGATAAAGAACCTTGAATCCTTGGATGACAAAATGCTCAACTCCGGTGTTCTTCACTGACCCCTCCCTTTCTCTTTTCTCTTTAAAATCCGTTTTAACCGTCTAAAATTGTGTTTTTGGATCGTTAAAAAGCTGAGAAGCTAAGCTACGAGCTAGGCTAACTGGCCAACCTACGGGGAAAAAAAACGTATTTTCAAAGCTCCAAAGCTCACGGTTGAAACTTGTGCCTTCGTCTTAAAAAGTTGTTTTTCTCTGCAAAAAGAAGCCGAGAACTTCCTTACTGATTTTATTTTTTTAATTAAAAGCTTTATATGACAAATGCTATGCTAAAGAGCTCAAACCACATCGAGCGTTCGCCATGTTGAGAACCAAAAAACAGGAACGAGAGACAGCCCATGTCACGTCAAGAGGCTCCCGCCCATTTTTCTTAGACGCGCTGCTCGCTCCCTCACTATCCATCCTTCGGTTCAAACTGTCTTACACTGCCATCCAGTAGTCAAAAAAAAGGTACTACGCACAAAAATTAACATTTCGTCTTAAATTTGACAATAATTACTAATTATTGTTAAAAATTGTTTAAAAAAATATATATATATTTGACAATAATTACTAATTATTGTCAAATTTCAAACAATATTATCGTTTGTCTCAATAATTTCTGAGATAATAGCCCAGCAAAATTTATTGTGACAGGCCTAGTCCCATCGGTGTATGAATGTGATAAAGCACTAATTAGTCTTTGTATAGACATAATCGAGTGCTGTATGAATAGGTACATGAATAATAATAATGAATTTAATTTGTAATGCACTTTTCATTAACAAAAATCTCAAAGTGCTACAGAGTGCAACTAAAATCAATGATAAAATCAACATGAAACATGAAACAAATAAAACAGAGGGCATAGATTGTGTTGTAAAGTGCTTTGACTATTTTGATAAGATAGAAATGCACTATATAAGTACAGTCCATTTACTATTTATTGCAAACCAAAAGTTTCCACACTTGCTTCAAAAGCCCACATTTTTACATAGGATTAGAAAACAAGTCAAATTCTTTAATGACATTTTAAGACCTGGCATTGTTGTCCTTCGTTGCAGGTGATGTCGTTTCCTGCCAATGGTTTTGGTCTGTACGACGTGGTGGGGAATGTTTGGGAATGGACCTCGGACTGGTGGACTGTGCACCACACAACAGACCCGCAGCAGAACCCGGTAAAACAACACATCAACCTTTCTGTTTTCCACTTCCCTTATTGTCAGGAGTTTGGTTTTGATGCTTCTCTCTCCACCTCTTTCAGACGGGTCCTCCTTCAGGCAAAGACAAAGTGAAGAAAGGCGGCTCATACATGTGCCACAAGGTAAAGTAGCTCATAATCATCACATTAGCAAGAATCTAAACCCACAAAATGGATGATTTTCATGTAGTTTGTTAAACCTGGAGTCATGAACAAGTGTCTTGCTGCCTGTTCAGATCATGGAACTGTTTGAGTATAATAATGATTGCCCTGACTGGTGGTTTTTGTAGAAAATGTTTCCAGTTTGCACTGCAGGTGTTAACCCAGACAACCACAGCTCTACATCAGCATTTCTGAGGGGATGATCATTTCTCTCTTCCTGTTTGATAACCGAGGGGAAACCCAGACTATTTTTTTCTTCCTGGTTTGTGAATACTGTTTCTGGTGGCTGCTGCGTGACCGATGCTGCTTAAAATTACAACTTGCTAGTAATGTACATTAAACAGAATGCAGTCATTTGTAAATGTGTTAGTTCGCAAGTGAGCGAAGTGTTATCCTCCATGCTGCAACACGTTTTGAAAGAAAATGGAATGAGGCAACAAATTACTTGGAAAATTTTGTTGTTAACAAAACATCTGGTGGAACATTTCAGAAACGATCTTAAGAGACAACAAATCAGAATTATTACTGAAAATAAAGAGCATCATAAAAGGGCTACAAGTCTTTATGTAGTAAATATTGAGGGAAATTCCCCCAGAGGTTCACATTGTGTGGCCAAAAAGTTAAACCGCATTTAGATTACAGTATAACATTTAATCATTTACTACATTTTTTTTTAAATTAAAGATTAAACAATAAAAAAAACTTTGTTTAAAACAAAATGAAGACTCTTGCAAGAAATGTTCCTGTTGTTTCATTAATGTGTCATTACAACACTATTAATGTCTCACAAAGTGCTGGCATCATTTGGGTCCAGTTGACCAAGAACTGTATGAAAGTCTCGGGAAGGTCCTGACAGTCATGCCACAAAAATATGGTTTTATTGTTGTTGTTAATGGTGTTGGTCACCCAGTTGTAAGTGATAATTGCATATCTGACATCTGTTCAGCACTCATTTGTCATCAGATGATGTCAAACGATGAAGCTCAGTGAAGTGCAGATGCTGATTTTTGTATATTGCTAGTACAGTAGTCCCTCGCTACTTTGCGGTTTGACTTTTGCGGTTTGTCAACGATTGTCAACTAATATTACGTGATTGGGATGGTATGGGATAAGAAGTTAACGGGGGGGGTGGGATACTTCGGACAGGCACCGCCATTTTGTAGTTTTCTTTCAATAAGCCTACCGTAACACCAGTCAAAAGAACTACACTACCCAGAAGTCAACAGTGCTTCTGGCCTCTGCTTTCTGCTGAAATGGAGGGAAAGTGTTGAAACGCAAAGTCAAAAGTAACGGTGTATCTATTAAGCTCACAGAACTGGCAGAAAAGTTGCAAATAATCCTGAAGCTCGATTATCCACGTCCAAATTATCAATCTGGACGGGGCAGTGGGCCTCATCGCTGCAGGGTAGGTCTGCCGAACCGGAACCGAGCTGCTGTTCTGCAGAGCTAGTGAGTAAAATTTTCGGTACAGTAGTCCCTCCTTACTTCACGGTTCGTTTTTCGCGGACTCACTCTATCGCGGTTTTTCAAAGTAAGATTGGGCATGACACACCATGATGGATGAGCCACACGATCAGCATGTGTTTTTAAATTTAAAAATAATAAATTTTTTAATGATTTAGCACCTGTGTGCAGCCCACAGCTGTGGGTTAACTTCCTCCTGCAGCTGATCAGCTGATCTCCATGCAGAGCGGAGAAGTGGGCTTGACCAAGAGTGCAGCAGGAGGCAGAGAGCTGAAATCATGACGTGCTTCAGGATACGGCTCACCCGCGATAAACAAGGGACTACTGTACAATACATATACCTATGTTGTTAAAATGATTTTAAGAGTTTAGAACATTGCAAGAGTGTGGGAAGAATTTATAAAGCCTTAAAATATATATAAATACTAAAATAAATATAGCGTTTCTACTTGGCAGTTTTTCACCTATCACAGGGTTGTGTGAAACGTAACCCCCGCGATAATCGAGGGACTACTGTATTTCTAACTTGTAGAAACTAATTTGAAAAAGTTTGAGATGAATTTGAGCTGGGTTCTAGATGCCAGCACTGGCTATTTTAGAAAAAATGCTTTTATTTTTATTTATTTATTTTACTTACAATTTTATGAACATGGTTAAAATCCTTGCTACACAGATGAGATTGTGACTCGCCTGAGGAGATTTAGACCCCAGCCAACATTTTAATATTTTTAGACATTTTGAAACCTCCTTGGGCAAATTGGCACAACACAGTGAGAAACTGGGCTAAAACGTTTTGGGCACAGAATGTTTAAAGCTTTTAATTTAGGAAAAAACATGTATATATGTCTGCCTATACACAAGTATCGTGGAGTATTGTGTGTGTTTATAGCAACTCAATGCTTTTGCCATCGTTTGTTGTCATGGAAGTGAAGCTAAATGCATGCAAAGTCACAAAATTTTAACAAACAAACAGTTTCCTGCTTGTTTCATGTGTGAGCAGAGGACACTTGAGTATTTTTAGTGCTCGTCAGTTGTATAAAAATCGGTTTTGTCCAGGCAAAGACATCACAGGAGGCTCAACTTCAGCTCTGTGAGAAATCCGTCAGAAAGCAGTCTGAGAGTTCTAGTTCGAGAGTAATTCCCCCTTTTATCTCCCTCTGTGTGCTTCAGTCTTACTGTTACAGATACAGATGCGCCGCTCGAAGCCAGAACACTCCAGACAGCTCGGCGTCAAACCTGGGTTTTCGTTGTGTTTCTCAGAAGAAACCGTAACCTTATCTGGACTGGAATAGAACTGGACCGAGATCTGATGACTGAAGTTCAGTGAATTAAAACTCATCGGACCTGGCAATGTTTTTCTAATCTCTCATTGTCGCGTTTTGTCCGGTGTGTGTGGATCGCAGCTTCGGTTTTCTGTTCCTAGCTGACAGGAGGTGGCACCTGGCGTGGTCGGAAGCTGTTGTCCATCCGCTTCAAGGTTGGACGTGAGCGTTCAGAGACGGTACTCTGCAGATCTTTGCAACGAGCGTTTACTTGAGCAGCTGACTCACTAGATTCTCTATAAACCCTAGATATGGTCGTTTGTAAAAATCCCTGTAAATCGGTTTCTGAAACCCTCAGACTGGCCTGTCTGGCACCAACAACCACACCATACCCAACCAAACTTAAATCCTCATTTTCATTCTGATGCACAGTTTGAACTTCCAACAAACCTTCTTCACTCCTACATGCCTGAAGTCACGCTTTTTCTGCCATGTGATTGGCTGATTAGCTAGGATGCCTATAAAAAGTATTTAGTAGTATTTGGACAGTTGTGAGTATTTTATGCCACCACAGTTTACATTACCGGTACATATTTTTATTTAATGGATATTTGTAGAGATTTGATTTGACTACAACATTGAAGTTTGTTGGGTTTTTTTTTTTTGTCAAAACTACCTATTTATACTGACCCATGTCTCATTTATAATGGCAGTAAAAGTGTAAAACATCCAAAGGGTGAATACTTTTTATAGGCTGTATTTGTATGTGTTTTAATAAAGTGGCTTGTGAGTGTACATGTATGTACACAATAGAAACACAGGCTGAACGAAGCCCTAAATAACTTGACTTTTAGAGCTTTTTTTAATACCATGACTTCCTCATTGTTATTATAAACTCTGGACCAGTTAATGTAAATACTACAAGTTCATTCTTTTATATTGAGTGTAAAGATGATGTAAACTTGCATAAAATATTTTTCGCAAACACATGGTGTTTCTTTTTTTGATGTACATTTCTGAATGAATGCTTTCGTTTTTGTTTTTTTTATGGAGTTTTATCTTCCTTTATTTTGCAATTATGTTAAATGCTGAATATTTAAATGCTTTATTTCGAAAAGCTCTGCCAACATGTATGAAAAAGAACTAACCACCAGGGGGCAGCACATGTTCTCATAATATTTGACCTAATCTACATTTTGCTATGAAATGAACCAAACTGATCATAATATTAGCTTTGTCATTGAGAATGAATTGTGAAAATCATAGTTTTTTTTTCTTGATACACGCACAAAATAAATCGCACAAAACAAATGGCTCACATCACAGGAGCATTGGGTGTACTTGTCTAGATTTGAAATTTACAGTAATTCTAGAAGTACACATTAGCTAAAACAATTGAAAAATACAAAAGAAATATCTGTAAAGTAACTAACTTTATTATGACTTATTCATTATACATGACATGTGACGATGATAAACTAAACAAATATGGACAAAGTTTTACCAAGAAATAAGCAAATGGATGAAAAGGTCAAATAAAATTTAGAGTGCATCTAAAGAAAATTTAATTTTAACTAAATGCTTGTTTTTTTTTCAGTATTTTTTAGCAAACTAAAATTCTACTTTTACGCAGTGAAAATAAGAAAGTTCAAAGGTATAGTTGATACAACATTACTGCACAACTGCTAACATTAATTAGACAATCCAACGAGTCTAAAACCCTGCTGTCAGCTTTTTAATTGAAGTTCGTACAAACCTCTTTATCTATCAGTGCACAACAGATTAACTGTTTTACAAAACAACAAAAAAAACTTTTTCTCTCTCTACAATTGCTTGCAAGAAGATCCTTTGCTCCTTCTGCAAATTGGATTAACCCAAAACAAAAAAAAACAAAAAAAAAGCACCACAGGAACAGAGCAGAGCGACTAAGACAACCTGAAGGCTAAATACAGCTGCCATCTTGGAAAATCCTGCACAAAATAAGAGATTCAACAAAAGGCGATACGCTATACTAATAAAAATCCTGCTCTCGATCACTCTGCTTGTCATTAGCAAAGCTGATAATACAAAAAAAACGTTTGCAACTTTGCTCGACTTTTGCACCAAAATGGCAAAAGAGTGTCTTGTGCTGCTGGAGAGGACGTGGACCTCTGTCAGTGTGTGTCCTCACCACATATAATAACTACGTGTGGTGTCGACAGGAGAAGGCTTCCCCTCTGCGCTGCCTTCTTTGTCCTTCTCGCCATCAGTCTCCCACAGGTTAATAAGTGGGGGATAGAGCTCATTAAGGGGGATGGAGGAGGTCTTTAGCATGTATTTTTTCAGGGAGTGGTGGTAATTTTTTCTTTTCCATCTGCGGGCCATGTAAACGCCGACAGTGGCCAGACTAATGAAGGCCAGCATGGCTGACATGGCCGCTAACACGGCCACGCTCGGGTGCTGGTCTGACAGGTCCAGTGAGAAGGTGGCGCTGCGTGTCGTCACGTTGACGCAAGACTTGTGTGTCTGCAGGTGGATGTTGGAGACTGTGAGACATACTTCGTACTCTGTTGCCGGTTGGAGATGCGTGAGGTTGTACTCATGCACGTCAACCGGAACACGAGCTGTGTAGGTGATGTGCGGGTTGTCGATCTTCATCGTGGCAGAGGCCCACTTCAGGTTGGAGGACAAGACGTTGGAGTTGACTTTCCAGGACACCAAGATAGAATGGGACTCTGTCTGCTTGACGTAGATATTCATCACCTGTGCGCTGTCGAGCAGAGTCCCATTTACGCGGATTGAGGTGACCCAAGTGTCTGCGCCTTCAGCGTTCTGCGCTACGCAGGTGTAACGACCAGAATCTTCCACTTGCACATGAGACAGATGCAGAGTTCCCTCGCTGCTTAAGTGGTACCGCTCAGACATAGTGTCTGTTGTGATTTTGTTACCCAGAGGTGTCACCCAGTAAATGTCAGGTTCTGGTTCAGCAATTGCCCGGCAGTCTAGGCTGACGCTCACTCCCAGCTCGAGGTTCAAATGGCTGGGGAAGGTGTCATGAGATATTAGGGGGAGACACTGCTCCGGGGACTCTATCAGCTGTAATTGTCGGACTCGCTGGCCTCTGAGTTCTGGTGGGGAGGTGCAAAGCATGGCCAGAGGCTCCATGAAACGCACCGTGGACCGGTTGGAACTCATCCACTGAATCACACAGTCGCAGCGCAACGGATTGCTGTGAATGCTGATCTCCCGCAGGTTGGGCAACACCTCCACCGTGTGCTGGTAAAGAGCAGTGAGAGCATTGTTGTTGAGCATCAGGCTTTCGAGGGACTGCATGTCCCTGAATGCAAGCCTGTGGACGTACGAAAGTTTCAGGTTGTTGGTTGCCTCCAGTTTTGTCAGTTCTGGCAGATTGTCCAGAGCATACCGATCAATAGACACCAACTCCATCATATTGTTGATGCCTAACTCCTTAAGATGCAGCATGTTTCTGAAGTCTCCTTCCTGGATTTTTTTAACAGGGTTTTTGTTTAGATCTAAGAATTTCAGATTGGGAACTTTTTGAAGAGCCAGTTGGGGGATTCTGACCAACTTGTTGTCATAGAATGAAATGCTTTCCAAGTTATCCAAACCTACAAACGCATTTGCTGGAACGTTCGTGAGATCCATGCCTGCTAGAACCAGACTCCTCAGATTTCCAAGGGGCTTAAAGTTCATGTCCAGAAGGCCAATAACTGGGTTCTCCCCAATCATGAGGATCTCAAGATTAGGTGTTTCTTCAAACCAGCGGCTGTCTATCACATGAAGCCTGTTTGAGTTGAGGTGGAGCCTCAGCAGACTGCTCAGGCCTGCAAATGCTCTTGGGGAGATGGAGCTGATCTGGTTGTGGTTAATATAGAGCTCTTGCAGGTTGGAGAGGTTTCCCAGGCAGTGGTCCGGTAGCTCATTTATGTGGTTCTCCTCCAGATGCAGCGTTGTCAGATGGTTCATGTTCCTGAGGCCCACAGCTTCTACTCTGGTGAAGTTATTCTGGGACAGATCCAGTTCTGTCAGGTTGAACAGAGCCTGCAGTTCTCCACCGGTGCGAGAAATGGCGTTGCTTTGAAGCAGCAGCACCTGAGTGTTTGCTGACAGGTTGGTTGGGATGTGCGTCAGCCTCAAGTCATTGCAGTCCACCGTAGTCGCCTCCTTGTAGGTCGACTGGGGAGTAAACCAAGGGCGGATCTCACATACGCACAAACGAGGACACTCTTTACCATTCACAGGTGACAGGAGGACAAGAAGGAATCCTACGCAGAGCAAGGTTAGAAGAGGCCAGAACTGGGAGCTGAGCGCCATGTTGGCTGCGCTCTCTGCTTATAAACAAGATTTTAGATGGGAGGCAGTGTTTGCATGAAAGGGATAAAAGGACAGTTCACAAACATCAGTCTTCTCTGCTGCTAACTTTCTGACGTGCATCCAAAACGGAAATCCTGAAGCCAAAGGATGATTTTTGAAGGAGGCAGGTCAGTTTCACCCTAAAAGAAAGAAAGCAGAGCAAATTTTAAAGCAAGTACCTTTTTTTTTAATCGTAGAAAATTGAAAAAACATTTTCTATTTCAGGCAATCTTTTTTTTACTTATAGGTTTACTGTTAGAACCATAAAAGCTCGCACCTTTGCACATGTTTAATTCTATGCTTTCCATTACTTACATGTTTCATTTTACTTACCAGGTACGTATTGATCATGAGCATTTTTTTGCTACTATTTAAGATGATAGCATTTGTTTTAGTTTTGCATCCTGGTTAACTTGGTTTCCTTGGAGATTCTGAACTCGTTTTATGGTGTCTGTTATTCTAATTGTTTGTACACCAGCTTAGTATGAGTTATCTGCTTAAAGTGAGTGTGGTGGGCGGCTACAGCCTGCAGCTCTGGCTGTGAGTCCATTACACAACCGGCTTAATATGCAAGCAGTGTGATCACTTGTAATCACTCTGTGTTTGTGGTACAAGTTCAGAATTCACAGATTTTTGAAGTGAAGTTCTCGTAAAAACACAGGATGTAGTTATTCTGTGTGTCTGTGCCTTTCACACACCAGCATCTCTACAACAGAGTGGTTTAAGAGCAACAAATTGTAAGGTTTGATATGCAGCGAACAACCACAACACATGTTGGGAATTTTTGTAAGAGACCAGAATTTTTCATAGCACACCTAAATAAGATGCAGTTTGGTCAGTTCTAAACAGTGATTTTTTTTTTTTCCATCATCTGGTGTGTTTCATCTCTGAAGAACATTTAGTGAAGATTTGCTGACCAGGGTCAGCATGGGTAAGGAATGTGCTCATCCAAAATTAGAAAACGTAGCTAATCACCTCCCTCCTCTTCAACTCTAGCCTAAATTAGACGGTGAAGCTTTGCCAAAGTTAACCAGTCTAGCTGGAAGAGTCCACATCTACCTCCAGTCTTGTGATCTGTTCAGGTTTCCATCGTGTAGCTAAGAACAGCTGAGCAACTCTTGAAGATTATTGTTTTTTATACCAAAGTCCATGCTCAATAATCCAGGTATAAAATCCAACAATTTTTATTCCAGTCATCTGGACGGTTTCGTTTTGGTGCTGAGACGTTTCGCCTTCCATCCAGAAGGCATGCACAGTAGCACCAACATAACTGTTTTTTTTTCCACTTTGGAGTAAGCTGTTGGGGGAGAAGCAGTTTTGTTTGGTGTTTCCTCAGACTGATGAAGCCTTCTGGATGGAAGGCAAAACGTCTCAGCACAAAAAAGAAACCGTCCAGATGACCTGACTGAAAACTGTTGGAATGGTTTTTTTTTTTTTTTTTTCTTTACACGAGAACCTCTCATGCAGCTCAGAGAGCAACCGGTAACATCTTACAGCTTTTATTTAGCGGTCAGTGACAGTTAATGGTTAGGTAAACGTCCCTGTTCTTACCTCAGCATGCACTGAAGATGGAACTGGGTTGAAATGGAAGGCAGAGAGGAGGTGGCAAAATGGGGACTAAAATACAGCATTTTGGTTAGGAGAAGAATACCGGTATTTGTTCAATACTTAGCTAATAATACACAAGCTGGCAAAATCTTAGAAGATGCAAACGGGTCCTTTTAGCATTTAAACTGACTAAACAACAGCCAGTTTTGACCAAAGGTGCAGAAACATTTGCATGATGATCCTTCCTTAGATAGAGAACTTTACTAATTGGCTTTTCTATGTATGCAAATGTTCCTGTAAAGTCTCTAAGACAATTTTGTTGTGATATGGCGCTATATAAATAAACTGGATTGAAGTGAATGATGCTATAGCAGCAGAGCTGGAGCGAGTCTTTGCTCTAATTATGACTGATATTCATAGAAACTGTTTTCATCCTCAAGCTATTGTGGAGGATCTTTTGTGTGTGAGTGGGTGAAACACAGAATGATAATGTTTCACTTCAAAACTGAGACTTTTAACACTGATTATTTCCCCTCCTATCTGTTCACACCATGCTGAGTTTATTCTCTTCACAATTATTTTTCACTACATTTTAACAAACAACAATACTAACACAGCTCAACAATCAGAAAAGCAGCAACACACAGAGAGAGCCTGTTTCTGTACAATAAGCAAAGTGCCACTGCATGGAAACAAATTTCAAGAAGATCAACAAATAAAAGCAAAACCAGCCAAAGATTTGGCACCAGAGCTTTAAAGTTCCCCGTGCTGTTAGAGGGAGAATGGTACCTGGAATCAGACAGCTGGACTCTGCAGTGATCAGAACAAACACAACGTTTTGTGATCATCTTCATGTGAGCACAGTCCACTTATAGATTTGTTTCATATCCATCCATCCATCCATCCATCCATCCATCTATTCCGTCTACTCCTCTCCATCTAACCACCTACCTACCTACTTACTACTCTACCGTTTAGCCATAATCACAAAGACAACAGGTCCAGGAGAGAAATCCAGACATCCCTCTCCTCAGTTGTTATCATCCCTATATGTAGCGGTCAAACTGTCCCACCTACCTCCTAGTAGGTTTAAAGGTACGTTATTATCGTTATTATTGCTGATAATAGTCAGCGTCACACGGGGGTAAACCAGGAAGTGTCTTTTTAGTTGTTTTCAGCTTATGTAACCCTTTTCCTAAACGTAAGCTTACACCTGACCCTGAGGACCAACCCTAAACTTAACCCCCTTACTTTTGTGCCTAAACCTAACCAAGACCCTAAACCTAACCACCAGACCCTTTACTTTGAACCTATCCATGTGAATCTTTTATGAGCACTAACAAAGCTAAAAATGGAGCCTATTATCATGGCTAACAACGTACCTTTAAATCCACTGGGAGGTACAGGAGGGGCAGTCTGACTGCTACATATGGAGATGATAACAACTAATAACGGCCATTTAATGGCTGATAACATCCGAAGCGGGTGCCCAGTGACACGTTTCAGCTTGTTCTAGGGGACCCCGAGGTGTTCCCAGGCCAGAAAATAAACGCAATCCCTCCAGCAACTTCTGGGTCTTCCTTGGGGGCTCCTACTAGTTGAACGTGCCTGGAAAACCTCTAAAGGGAGGCGACCAGGAGGCATCCTAATCAATCAATCAGTGTGGAGGAGAAGTAGCTATACTTCGGCTACCCCAAATGACGGAGCTCCTCACCCTATCTCTAAGGCTGAGCTCAGCCATTCTGTGAAGGAAGCCTGTTTCGGCTGCTTGTATCTGGGATCTCATTCTTTCAGTCATGATCCAAACCTCATGGCCACAGGTGAGGGTTGGAACGTAGACAGACCATCAAATCAAGAACTGTGCCTTTTAACCCAGCTCTCTCTTCACCACGACAGACCGAAGCAACGGCCTAAATCCAGAGGACGAGGACCCAATCTGTCGATCCATCTCCTGTTCCCTCCTGCCATCACTCGTGAAAAAGACACCCAGATACTTGAACTCCTCCACCTGAGGCAAACTATGAAATAGATTTCATATGCATTTTAATCTAATTACCTATAAAAATAAAAGGGTTTCGTATGTTGAAAATCACTCATTAGTATGTGTGTCTGCCCTCTCCTTTCATGTGTCACACTGTTTGGATATTAAATTGGAGGAGACGGGTGGTTTAATTATTCCTTTAATGCTGAAGCAATAAAACTCGACACCTGGCACTATGGTTTCTGGCAGCCTGGCAGAGCTGTGGGGGTCAGCATCCGTTCCCATCAATCCCTCACTGTGTGTTTGGATTGACCTTATTGACAACAGGGAGGCTTTCTGGGCACATATGGCCAATTTCCACTGATGGCTTGCTTCATAATCACCACGATAGACAAATTCTGTCTTACAGGCTCCCCCTGTGCCCCTATAGATACCTGCTGTTGGCCTCAGATCAGCTGCACTGAACCAGTAGGAGTGACTTCCCACCTGTTCATGAACAACTCAGCCTCAGAGTCTGTAAAATGCATCTCTGTCAAACTAGGAAATTGGCTTAGATAACAAGTACTTTACTCTGAAAGCAGGATCATGGCAGTTTTGTACAGGCACCTGCATCTTGGGGAAAAATCCATTGCTAACCTTTTGTCTGTGGCAGAACAGACACTACAGATGCATGCTTCTGTGTAAAACTAGACACTCTTCAAGGACAGATTTTGTCCCATTCCTGCACCGTCACACTTCTTTGAGTCATTTTGACATAAATCCATACACAGCCAACTGGAAACAGGCAGGAAAATCCTTCAACAGCGAGGTATTATCCAGCTCACTGTATGAGCTGAAGCCTCCAGCAGTGGGATTTAGTTATTCTCTTTCCTCAGCCAATCCCTGTGAGGTTTTAATCATATCCTTTGTCCTTCTGTCCGTCTGCAGCTACTTCTATATTAAACATGGATAATATTTGCTCGTAGTTCATACCAACCTTTGGAGGATCACTTGCCTTGAGGTTGAGAACAAGGCTGCAGAATGTAATTGTGGGACAGTAATTAGGTTTGTTTGCTTCATGTTTGATCCTAATAAATGTGTTTCTAAGGCACAGGCAATGCAGAGGGCGGGGAAATTATCAGAGCTGTAGATGAACAGATGCTCAGATATATTCATCATTTAACACGGATTCCTCATTTTTCTGGACTGAATAAAACGTGCATTGAATTTAAGGAAATGCAAACGTGAGACGTCATTTATATTTGACCCATCAAAATGAATGCGGTCATTTATTTACAGAATCAAAATTTAACATCAAACATTTACATTAATTTGGCAAATTATGAAAATAACAACATAAGCAATCAATCAGGAAAAATCATACGGCCATGATTTTTCCGTTGCTTCACCACAGACATTTATGAAAACTGTACAATTATGATCTTTTACCCACATGAATGTGGGTGAGCATTTTACACAGACATTTCTAAAATATCTGGAA